ACTGAAGGGAAAAAAAAAAAAAAAAGACCGAAAGAAAGACAGACAGATGAGGACAAAGTAGGGCCAGCGGGAGAAACGCAAACTGGAGAATCTGTCTGTATGGACCAGGGAAGCTGGGATGGAAAAAGGACTCATCTGTTATTAAAAAAAACAAACAGAAAAATGTAAGTGGGAGGCTCATCCATACCCGCTGCATGGGGTGCGTGCAGGACAGAGGACGTGCCACCTGCAGAGCCCACAGCACAGTGCCCGGCACCTGACCCAGCGTCTGTGTCTGCCAGGGACGGGCGCTTGCGGTGCCGCCCTCGCCTCCTCCCCTGAGGGAAATCGGAGATAAATGACTGGGCGGCTGGGTGGAAGGAGATACTGCAGGGACTGGGAGCCCGGGAAGCACACACAAACAGGTTATCACGGCCCCCGGCCTGTCGTCAGGATGTGAAAGCTAGCATCAGGTCTTCCCTGTCACTGACGTGCCCAGGGCCTCGATGTGGCGCACCATCCCGCCCAGCCTTCGAGGCAGCTTTAAGAGGAAGGGTACTGTTATTAGCCCCGTTTTGCAGACCAGAAACGTCTGCAAGAGGAAGCCGGTGCTTTGCCCAGAGTCACACAGGGTGTGAGCAACACGAGATTCCAAAGCTCACGCTTGTGCAAAGGGGTTTGCTTACACACCAGGCTGAGGGCACATGACTGACCTTGTACGACTGCCAGGGATCTATGGAGAAAAAGACTCCAACAAAATGCCCGGCTCGGTGGGAAGGAGGTGTGAACATTCTGTTGTCTGGAGACAGGCTCTCCTATGTAGTTCAGGCAGGCCTGGAACTCACTGTGTTGGCTCAGGCTGGCCTCAACCTCGCGGCGATCCTCCTGCCTCAGCCCCCTGAGTCTTCGTATTACAGGCGCGCACCACCAAGTCTGGCTCAGGACTAAGAGCCAGAAGAAATACTGGTCTGTTACTCCTTTGCGAAAGAGCACTTTCTGAATGCCTCCTGTGTACCAAGTGCGGCGTCAGGAAGAGCCCGTCAGCCTGGCATGGCCTGTTCTTCTCCACTTTTCCTACCCTTTGGTCTCTTCATGCCCAAGTGGGGTTTTGCTAATTTCTCCCACTTGCTGGCTTGGGGGTTAGGCAAGCTAAGCACGTAGGTCTTAGCTGATGATGGCCCTGCGCTTGTGCCCGGGGAATGAGACGCTGACCAGCCTGGGCACCGCAAACGCCCCGCCCACCTTGACGTCACGAGCGCAACAATCCCCAACTACATCTCCCAGAGAGCTAAGCGGCTGCGCGGGCGCGCCCGTCCCCCCACCCCGTTCTGCCACAACTACGCGTCCCAAGAGGCACCGCGCGCCCTTGCCTCCTTGCACTGCGCAAGAGCGGAAGTGCGTGCGTTTCTAGCGTACTTCTAGGAGGCCGGTGCGCTTTGTACCTTCGTTTGGGTCCTGTGCTGAGAGGCGTCTGGCATTACCGGTTTGGGCTTGTGGTTCCACAGGTGAGATGATCAGCCCCAGAACGCAGAGGCCACCTCCTTGGGACCTGGGTAGATTTCAATGTCCGGGCTGGCTGGGACAGATTCTGGAGTGACCTGAAAGCGTTGCGTTCCCTCGCTGTTTCTACTTTACGAGGTTCCACCCCTCACTCCAGCCCGGTTTTCCCCTGGACGGAGCTGAAAGCAAGGAAGCGGAAGCTCCTCCAGTTGACAGCTGAGGAAAGGGTTCAGAGAGGCCAAACCGATTGTCTTTGGTCGCTGTAGCGCTGGACCTTAGGCTGTTTCCGGAGTCCAGCCTGGCGTCCTCTGCTTTGCATCCGGATTGCAGATGCCCTTTTCTTGTTGACTGAGTGTTGGGGAGTGGGTATCTTCTGCCTTCCTTTCTCCCCTGGAGCGTATTAGCAGTGATACAGGGAAACTTGGGGAGATTAGTCCGTGGGTAGTGCACCTCTTAAGTCATTCGTTCACTCAGTGTGTTGAGGTGCCTGCAGTCTGTAAAGCCCTGCTCTCGGACTAGTGGTAAGAAAGAGCAGCCAACGGAAGCGCCCGACCCTGACTTCTAGTAGGGGAAGATGGACGTAGTAAGAAAGGTAGAGACAAAAGTAAGGTAAGGGGAAGTATCAGTGGAGGATTTGGAACGGAAGCCTCGCTTATGACGGGGTCTGGAATTTCATTTGTGCTGCAGCCACAAGGGCCACGCTGCAAAGATGGGCGAGGAGGCCAACGATGACAAGAAGCCCACGACCAAATTTGAACTAGAACGAGAAACGGAACTGCGCTTCGAGGTGGAGGCGTCGCAGTCGGTTCAGCTGGAGCTGTTGGCTGGCATGGCAGAGATCTTTGGCACAGAGCTGACCCGAAACAAGAAGTTCACCTTTGACGCCGGGGCCAAGGTGGCTGTTTTCACTTGGCATGGCTGCTCTGTGCAGCTTAGTGGCCGCACCGAGGTGGCCTACGTCTCCAAGGACACCCCTATGTTGCTTTACCTCAACACTCACACGGCCCTGGAGCAGATGCGGAGGCAGGCAGAGAAGGAAGAGGAGCGCGGCCCCCGAGTGATGGTTGTGGGCCCCACAGATGTGGGCAAGTCCACAGTATGTCGGCTGCTGCTCAACTACGCAGTGCGTTTGGGCCGCCGTCCTACTTACGTGGAGCTGGATGTGGGCCAGGGCTCTGTGTCCATCCCTGGCACCATGGGAGCCCTGTACATCGAGCGGCCTGCAGATGTGGAAGAAGGTTTCTCTATCCAGGCCCCGCTGGTCTATCATTTTGGCTCCACCACTCCCGGAACCAACATCAAGCTGTACAATAAGGTCAGAGCTGGAGCTTTGGCGGGTGGGTGGTCAGGGTTGCTTCCGCGTAGGAAGCTGTGGGAGTTTGCTAGCTAAAACTACACTTTGCTCCCTCTCGGTTTCTTGTTTCTACTGTCCCGTGATTTCAGGGAACACGGTTTCAAGTTTAGCCTCAGCTTGCTGAACATTTTTATGGACCTGTTACGTACTTATTAACTGTCCACATGGGACAGAAGACAGAAAGCAGAAACAATGTGAAATAAAAATTAAATCCATCTTACGAAGGCAAAGCTATAGGCATTAAAATTGTTATTGGAAGCACACACCTGTAGTCCCAGCAGTCAGGAGGCCGAGGCAGGAGGATCACTGAGTGTTAGGCCATCCTGGGCTACAGAGTGAGTTCAAGGTCTGCCTGAAGTGTCATTTGGGGGCTGAGGGTGGCTCCATGTAGAGAACTGGCCTTGTTTGTGTGAGTTCCTGGGTCTGGCTCCCAGCACTGTGCAAGTGCACGCACAAGCCATTTCTCTTGTGCCCAGTACCACTTAAAGGGGGACAAAATAGCTACTAATTACTCTGAATTAAAACATTGTTTTATTTTTATTGGTCCACGTTGGCAGCACATAAAGATTCCATTCCTGGTGGGGAGTTGGTGCATGTACGCAACACATCTTAATTCTTTCATGTTCCCTCCCCTTTCCCTCCACCTTGTCTGGCGTGGCTTGGCTTTTCTTTTCTTTTTTCAGGGTTTTTTTTTTAGGGGGGAGGTTACCGGGGATCAAACTCAGGACCTTGCGCTTGCAAGGCAGGCGGTGGAACCACTGAGCTAAATCCCCGGCCCAAGTGTAGGAAAGTTTATTGCAGCCTAGGCATGGGGAGTAAGAACAGCGCCTGGGAGATAGGAGGGGTCCCAAGTCGGCTGCCCTTGTGTGACTTTTCTGTTCTCACCTTGGTCCTCTCGTGGCAGATCACATCCCGCCTTGCAGATGTGTTTAACCAGCGGTGCGAGGTGAACCGGAGGGCATCCGTGAGTGGCTGTGTCATAAACACGTGCGGCTGGGTCAAGGGCTCGGGCTACCAGGCGCTAGTGCATGCAGCCTCTGCCTTTGAGGTGGACGTAGTCGTGGTGCTGGACCAGGAGCGGCTATACAACGAGCTCAAGCGGGACCTGCCTCACTTCGTGCGCACCGTGCTGCTCCCCAAGTCTGGGGGCGTGGTGGAGCGCTCGAAGGACTTCCGGCGGGAGTGCAGGGACGAGCGCATCCGAGAGTACTTCTATGGCTTCCGGGGCTGCTTCTACCCCCACGCCTTCAACGTCAAGTTTTCCGATGTGAAGATCTACAAGGTCGGCGCCCCCACCATCCCCGACTCCTGTCTCCCGCTGGGCATGTCCCAGGAGGACAACCAGCTCAAGCTGGTGCCCGTCACCCCGGGCCGGGACATGGTTCACCACCTGCTGAGCGTCAGCACGGCCGAGGGCACTGAGGAGAACCTCTCGGAGACCAGCGTGGCCGGCTTTATCGTGGTGACCAGCGTGGACCTGGAGCACCAGGTGTTCACGGTGCTGTCTCCTGCGCCCCGCCCTCTGCCCAAGAACTTCCTGCTCATCATGGATATCCGGTTCATGGACCTCAAGTAGGGGCAGGCAGGAGGCTGCGCCCCTCCGTAAGAAGCACATATTCAGCCTCTGGCACCAGACTTCTGATCTGGAGCCAGAGCGGGCCATGAAGATGTGACTGCCTTTTTGGATCATCCAGGATGCTCTTTGGAACTCTTAAGGCCTTGGAGAATTTCTCCTTTGTCACTGTGCCTCTATTTGGACTATTTTTGTTTTTTCCAATACCAGGGATCAATCTCAGGACCTTGCACTTGCCAGGCAGGCGAGGTACCACTGAGCTACATCTCCCGCCCTCTAATTGGACTATTCTTAATTACTACTTTGTATGAAATATATACAACTGTGTATCTTATTTATTCAGGATAAAAGGATACATTAGAGGGACTCTTTAATAAACTTCAAATAAAAATTATTTTAATATTTTTGCTATATCATAGAAGTGTAATTTTTAAAAAAATTTTTCTCAGTGTTGCACAAACATTATTAGAATGATTTATTGAGGGGGGAAAATTGAGAATCTACCTGTGAACCAACCAAGATTTATGATGTCTTCTTTTCCTCCTCTTCCTCCTTTTTTTTTTGGTTCTGTCAAGACAGGGTCTTGCTGTGTACCCTAGACGGCCTCAAACTTGTGGAGATCCTCCTGCTTCTTCTGTCCCAGCGCTGAGAATACAGGCTTTGCACAGGGCTGGCTGATTCCCCAGTCTTCTGCAGTTAGGTAAATACATAGTAGATCTGTTGTCAGTGCTGTTTCCTCTGGGAGTTAAGGCTGCTGACAATCTTAGGACAAGATCTCCCATCTCCTTTCCTAGAGATCGCTCGTTTTCTCTTTGTAGTTACCTTTCCTGTTGTCTGTGCGACTGGAACCAGGTCCTGAGTCAGTACAGCTTGAACTTTCAGGGAGGAAGAGGCTGGGACAGCCCATTCTTTCTGTTATCTTGCACATGATTGTTCGGTGTCCCTAGTTTGGATGTGGGCCATTCATCCATTTCTCCTTAGGAAACCATCTATCTGTCTTACTTTTCCTGGTGCTGGTATTCACACGGGGCACATGATTACTGAGTAGCTGCTCTCTGCCGGGAGCTGGCCTCGGTGGAGTAAGATGGGCAGCTGCAAGCACCTTCCAGTGAATGAAGAGCTTCACAAGACACTCGCTTCACAAGGCTCGCTTTAGCTGGGAGACGAGCACGCTGCTTCAGCCTGTGTGAACAGTGAAGACCCTGGTCTTCCTGATCCTGGGACTGAAGACAGAGCTCCATCACCAGCCTTTCTTTTGAGACAGAGTTTCTGTTTCCCAAAATTGCCCAGGCTGGGCTTGAACCCGCCTCGGCCTTGCAGACTGATGGCTTCAGGCCTGTGCCACTGCGCTCCGCTGGCAGACTTGGGTAAGACCGGGAAGGCGAAGTGATGACTGCTGCAGACCTGTCCCAGGGGAGGAAACGGCGCACGGCCCTCAGACTTGGTGAGTTCGGTGAAGATGAGGCTAGCCGGGCAACAGAGGCCAGAGACGAGGGCTTGAGTGAGCCAGGCACGGTGGCACACACCTGCAGCCCCCGCATCAGCAGGCTGAGGCAACTTCGTTACCTGGCAGGATCCTGTCTCAGAATAAAATATAAAAAAGGGCTGGGGATGTAGCTCAGTGTGGAGGCCTTGGCTTCAAACCCTGCTGACAAAAAGAGGGTGAGGTTTTCTTCTAAGTCAAGGCGAAGAATGGATGTGGCGAGACCACGGAGAGCTGTGTTAGGCAGGGGAACAACATGGCTGACTTCACACTCCTGAGAGATTGCTGCTGTGTGGGAGCGGGTGACAGTGGCGGCAAGGACACGTGATACTGCTGTGTTTGCGCTGAGGGGGACTGGACGACAGCAGCTTAGGTAGAGTGATGAGAGTTACTGTGCACACTTGGGGTGTTCAGGAGGTTAGAGGCAGGGTCTCACCGCGTAGCCCAGGCCGCCTTGAACTCACGATCCGCTGTCTCAGCCTCTGGAGTGTAGGGTTACGCTGGCACGTGTGCCCCAGCATGCCCACCCGATCTGAAAGTAAAATGGGTAGGAGCTGCCGATGAGAGTGATAAGGAAAAGAAATTGGAATCAAGGCTTTTTTGGTGGGAGGGGTGTTATAAAATGGAACCAAGAGCTTTGTTTTTTTTCTTTTTTTAAAGCTGTTTTTAATTTCAGCAACTAGGTTGGTTTTAAGATTGGGAAAACTCAGGGAGGGAACAGGGAATAACACCAAAGTTCTGGCACTGGTCAAGTTCCAGCCGTCTGTCTTCTCCATTGGGAGAGGACACAAAGCTTGAATCTCTAGGTTCAGGAGAGCCCCTGGACTACGAACAGATTTAGAGTGGCTGCACCTGCTAAAGTAACTTAGGGACTATGGAAATGGAAAGAGGAAGAAGCAAAGATTTGAAGTGGTCAAGCGGTGCTTGGGACGTCCTTGGAGCAACAGCTCTCCCAGCATGCACTAGGCCCCAGGCTTGCTCCCAGCACTGGTGGGCAGGGAGAGGTCCCGTGTAAGTGCAGCTGGCCCTAGAGACCTCACTGTGGATCTACAAGCATTGCTGCATGTCAGTGCTGACTTGAAAAATGTAGCCTTACCTTGGAATAATGGGGACAAAAGCCCTACTGAGATAGACTAGAGAGATGATTCAGACTGAGGAAGATAAATGTTTTCAACACTTCAGCTGGGCATGATCACTCATACCTGTAGTCCCAGCAAGCAGAAGCTGATACAGGAGGATCACTGCGAGATCTAAGCCAGCCCAGGTTGCACAACAAGGCTCCCCTGCCCCCCAAAAAAGAGTTTGCTAGGGGTATGGAAGGGGATTGGATACAGACTAGATAATGGTGAGGAAGGGGTATGTAGGGTTGGTCTGTAGATAGGATGGTGTCTCTCAGCAGACTAGATGGGCGTGTGTGTGTGTGTGTGTGGACATTTCTATGTATATGTCTTAAATTTTTCAAGTATCAAAGTTAAGAATCCCGCAATGAAGGAACTGGGATCCACAGCACAAAGGAAAGACCATTCTTTAATACAGGCAGAGACTTTGCCAGCGGGGTGGTGCTGAGGACTGAACCCAGGGCCTTCGGAAAGCTGAGTCTGGGCTTAGCCCCAGGCAGCCCATTTCACAAGGACCGGAGAGTGCAGGTACCAATAGCTCCCATGGCAAATGTGATCATGATGTCCCACAAGTATGTACTAACAAGAATTGTAAAAGGAGGACAGGAGAGAAGCAACATAAACAGGTCCTAAAGAAATGGATGAATGAGTGAATGAATTCATTGGTGGGTTAGGGCCGAAAGGGCATTCATCCCTCTCTGATTTTTTTTTTTTTTTTTTTTTTTTTT